CCAGATTTAAATGAAATTTCATCTGGATCATTATTGCCCATAACTACTTATATGTCTACCTATTTATCAAATTGTATTAAACTGATCTACGAACCTTTTTTTTAGGTAAGAAAAAAGGAAAGAGTTAGGACCCCTTCCTCACGACGGGTGATCCTAAAGCATCTGAGATGAGAATGGGGTACAAAGCTGAAGAAGTACAAAAAGAAATATCCAATTTGTCGGTGACAAAATGGCCAACATTTGCAATCCAATTTGCTGCTCTGTTTGCTTCTCTGTCATGCCGAATTTCCCAATGGGGGAATCTGCGAAGTAGGATCTTGATATCTGCTATAATGTGATCAATCTGCCATGGGGTCGACCAAATACCATTCAATGCGTTGACAACTAGGAGGTTGTCCCCTTCAATTTGAAGATCTTGTATTCCTTGTTGTGCTCAAGTACTATAGTATGCAAAATTGCTTGCTTTTTATACTTTATACATACGATGACTATACATGTATAATAAATTAATAATGTACTAAGGCCCTGTTCTTTTGAGCTTCTGGGCAGAGCAGAGCAAAGTAGGGGTCAGCAGAGCAGAGCAGAGCAGATTTCAACATTATTATTAATACTATCATTAATGTTATTATTATTAATGTTGTTATTATTAATACTATTATTAATGTTATTATTATTAATGTTGTTATTATTTTTTATTTTTTTGAGGTCATGTTTTTATTATTAATACTATTATTAATGTTATTATTATTAATGTTATTATTATTAATGTTGTTATTATTATTATTATTTTTGTTATTATTGTTATTATTGTTATTATCGTTATTATTGCTATTATTATTATAATTATTATTATTATTATTATTATTATTATTATTATTATTATTATTATTATTATTATTATTTTTTAATATTAATAATTATTATAATTAATCAAAATAATAAATTATTATCATCAATACAATTTTAATTATTATTATTGAATATTAATTATTATTGTTGTTATTATTAATTATTATTTGAAAATTAAGCAGAGCCGAGCCGAGCTGATTTCTTTTGAGCAGAGCAAAGCAGAGCAGAGCAGAGCAGAAAAGCTCTAAAAAACGGGGCCTAAATTTTGTACTTCGTAATATAATGTCTCTTTCCTCTTAAGTATACATTCTGTTTTTTCCCCTTAATTATGTCTCACTTCTTACATTCTTAACTTTTCAATAACTATTTAGTATAAATTCATGAACTTTAATAACTTAATTTGATTTTACTTATATTTTTCATTGAGAAAACAACAACAACTAGCACTAAACAATTAAATCCTTAATACTAAAGATGTGTTCAACCTTCAACTATATGAACTACGATTTTGTCACACTTATAACTTCCATGGTCTAAGGTCTATCATTCTATCCATAGTTTCATGTTGTTGCACATTAGGTTTATACCTCGAATTGTTTGACCAATCTTGAGTAGACCTGGCAATCCTAACCCAGACCCGATGACCCGACCCGAATGATCCGACCCATGACCCGAAATCGATCTGAAACCAGTGACCCGAAATTGACTCAAAACCCGAATTAACCCGACCCGACCATACCCGACCCGAAGTGGAATTGACCCGACCTTGACCCGAAACCCAAAATGACCCAACCCGAAATGACCCGACCCAAGATGACCCGAGACAAGAAACGACCTGACCCGAAGTTGACCCGAGACCCGAAGTTAACCCGACCCGAAAATGACCTGACCTTTAACTTCTTTTAGTAAATAATTATATAAGTTATAAAAAGTTTATATTAGGAAATTATAGATTAAAATAGACCCAACAACATCTTACATGACTACATTTAATTTCATATAATAGCTAAAAAAGATGGTCAAAGTGAGATGTGTGAATAGTGCAAAATGTCAAATCGTTAAGAGTAATTTGAGACGGAGGGGGTATAAGAATAATTCAAAGAAATTATTACAACAATGACAATGATAATAAGAGTACGTATTAAAATTAAGTTCAATAAGAGAGTGAGGTATAACTCAATTAGTTAGAGCATCCCTCTTAGTTTCAGGAGATCCTGAAATTTCAGTCTAAAATTCTAAACACAAAAAAAAAAAAAAAAAAAAAAAAAAAAGGTTAATAAAAGTCAAACAATTACTATAATCCATGAAAAAAGTAGCCTTAATAAGTATAGTGAGTTTTTCGTCAAAAAATAAATAAATAAATATATATACAGAGTTGAATTTAACCCAATGAATCACCTGAATATGACTCGACTAAAAGTTGACCCGACCCGAAGTTGACCTGACCCGAACTGACCCGACCCGAAAACTGACCCGACCCAAAAATTGACCCGGCCTAAACTGACCCGACCTAAGCTCGACCCGAAGTGTTGACCCGATACCCGACTCGACCCGATTATCGACCGACCCGAAATCAACCCGAAACCCGAAATGACCCGACCCGAACTTAACCCGATAATCTTTTGACCCGAAATGATCCGACCCGAATGACCCATTTGCCAGGTCTAATCTTGAGCCTCCCCTTTGTTCTTATAAACCGGTACCATAGTTCTATCCCTCTAATAATCTTGTTTGTTATCCAAACCTTGTTAAACAAGTATATTAGCCATTCAATACTAAACTTCCCTTTAAACCTCCATAGGGACACTAGGGTCAATAACTTTCTAATATTTCATTCATTTCAATGCCTTTTTTACTTTCATTATCTGACTATTCTACTTTCCATTGCCAAAATGCTCTTCTTTATAGTTCTGAATCTTCAATATAGTGATGTCTCTTATGACACAAACTTTAATACCCTTGATATATGAGACACTAGACCTGGAAAACGGGTCGTTCGGGTTGGGTCAATTTGGGTTTCAGGTAAGTTTTGGGTTAATGGTGATTTGGGTCGGGTCAGGTATCGAGTCAACACTTTGGGTCGGGTTGAGTTTGGCTCGGGTCGAGTTCGGGTCGGGTCATTTCGGGACGAGTTAGTCTTCAAGTCCGGTCAATTCGGGTCAGATCAATCTTCGTCTATGTCAATGTAGAGATTTGACCAATAATACTTCCTCCATTTTTTTTTTACTTGACCCACTTTGACTTTTACACTATTTACAACCCATTATTTGACTGTCTCTTATGAAATTTTTTTCAAGGAAAAACATATTCATGTGAAGTCTAGTTAGAATCGTCTCAATAAGTACTATCATCATATATAACTTTTATAATTTTTACTTGTGGAGAATTTTAGTTATTGATGATTAAAATTATGCATTGACAAGCGTGATAAATGAAATAGGTTAAGTATGTTATAATTATCAATAAGTATAAAGTATAATAATTGAATATTAATAATATATTCATTAGACAATTCCTACAGTAATATATACACAAGACTGTATTGTTTCATATATAAAGTCACTAGTGGAAAAAAAATTCAATATAACACTTAAAAGAAGAAGCTAAGAGTAATAATAACAACAACAATGTTCCCAATCAAATAAAACTCTTTATGAATTACAGATAGTAAATTACATGCACATATCAACAGTATAATACACACAATACTATAATGTTTAATTTAGGTTATTTTCGATAAGTGTTTATTTTGATTAATTAAGCTCTAAATCAGTTAGGTCATTTTGACTATTTTTTAATTTTGGGTCGGATCATTTCGAGTATAGTTCAGGTCGATTCGGGTTTCGAGTTCGTTCGGGTCAAAATCCAGTTGGGTCACTTTGGATTTCAGGTCACTTCGGGTCAGGTCAATTTCGATTCGGGTCAATTCGGGTATCGGGTAAACTTTGAGTCGAGTCAATGTGGGTATCTGGTCAAGTTCGGGTCAACTCCACTTTAAGTCGGGTATAGGTCAAGTCGGGTCAGCTGTGTGTTCGGGTCAATTTCGAATTTATGTTTTCGGGTCAATTTCAGATCACGGAACGGGTCATTCGGGTCGAGTCAGGATTGCCAGCTCTATTAGACACTTCTCTCTATTAGTCAATGATGCCTCAATTCATAAGCTAAGCTAAGGTCAAATTAGAAGAAGATGCACACAAGCTAAGCTAAGCTAGTGTTTTAAAATATTGTTTTGCCTATTTAAGGTAAATGACACCCTTTGGATGTCAAAGAAAAAAAAAAGGTTAGCACATGGGACATGATTTTAAAGGTGTGATTACTTGAAATTACAACCCATGTCCAAGCTAGAAGGAACAATTGTTTGTTGGTATTGAGCCACAATTTTTTGCCTCTTTTAAATAACTGACTATTTTCTTTGGTGGAATTTCTAGAGTAATATTACAATCAATACATTGTCACGATAAAAATAAAAAGTTGTTTTAGCAAAATAAGAAGAAAAAAAAAAACATACCAACAACATTTTTATAATATTGTTTATACTTATATGGTTTTACCCACTTAATTTTCTACCTTTCTCTTCTACCTTCTAAAATTTATTTTCCAATGGATGGTAATCTAGGTACAATCTAGATATCAAAGCCTCTATTGATTATATAAATACTTTAAGTAAATCTCATTAGTTTGATTAATTAAACAAATTATATAATAAAAATCAATTAAGGAATAATGTTATGAGAGAATAAATAGTGGATGTGGATAAGCCAACGAGGTAAGAGATAGTGGCGGTTTTCGTGAAGAGGTTCACCATTGTAAAAAAAAAAAAATAATAATAATAATAATAATAATAATAATAATAATAATAATAAATAATTAAAAATAATTATTAAAAAAAAAAAAACAAAAAATAACCTATATTAATGGCCCAAGATAGTGCGAAGTGACGTAGCAGTAGGAAAGGAGGAAAGTTGTAAGAATACTCCCGTCATCTTAGAATTGACTGAATCAACATTGCACACATGCCAATGCACTAGTTTGATTTTATTTTTACATAATTAAACATTAATGAAAATTATTATAAAAATTATATTATGAAACTTCACATTGATAACTATCTAACAACATATTTTATGATAAATTATGTTTTTTATTATGTTAGTTAAAAACGTCGTAGGTATGCGGGGACGAAGGGAGTACAATTTAGTGAAAACCAATAAAACAATACCACCTCTATTACCAGATAATTAAACAAAATTAATATTCTAGTCCCTATCAAATACATAGCTACACTTCCGTGGGGTGGGGGGGGGGGGGGGGTACAAACCTCTAACAAAAAAAGGACCCCTACCCTGAAACATGGATGAGCACGGACCAGAAGGGAAGTAGAGATGTACAAAATTTCTCTCATCAATCTCCATCGAACAGGTTGGTTTGATATTAATTGGAACCTGAAGGATAATTTGGGTCACTCAACTTGTGGCTGTACTCATAAAGGATTTATGATGTTTTTCCTTGCTCTGGATACGACTGACAGTAGTTCTTCAACCATGCAGACGCAGATCTCAGGACACGAACCTCCCCAGCGAGAAGATCTTGCGCCATTTTTTGTCTGATAGCAAACTTCCTACAGTTTCTGGGTTCTAGCATATGCAGTGACTGTAGGTACGATACAAACATCCTCAATCAAACAAGGACAATGAAAGAAGAATAGATCAAAAAACTTATATCAGAATGCATATGCCATCTTTTTATTTTTCTAAAATATTATCGATTCCTATCAGCAATTTAAACAAATTAGCCCTGCTTTGGCCACACAATTTTTGTTAATAATTCCAGGAGACCCATAATACGTGAAAAGACAGCATGCTGCAATACCATTGCAACTACCCCAGTGTATTGCTAAAGCCAAATAAAATTGACCTTTACAAACAGAAAAAAATCAATTTTAACTTGAGCATTGAAAAACTAATGATTGGTGCTTACCATTTAGCAAAATAGTTGTTCAATATCTACCTACCAAGTTAAATTAAGCCTGATGCAGAAGAGATAAGAAAATAGCAAATGCAGAAGTATTAAATATAAGTATATAACAGTGATCAACATATAAGATGTTTCACAAATTGTTAAAGACAACTTTACCTAGGCAAGGATGTGAATCGTTAGAGGAAGAAAAGGAGATAGATTGTCAACCAGAAAATAATGCTCAATTAAGAATTATGTTGCAGAAGGGGATGATAGAATGACAACCAGAAAATAATGCCTAATTGAGAATTCACGTAAATTGAAGGACTTGTATCAATCTGGTAAGCCTTTGTAATTTTCAGTCATCTTGTTCTTACCTTAATTGACACATCATATTCCTCAATCAACTTATTGATTAGCGAGAGCAAAATCTCATGTGCTCGTATCTCCAAGGTCCTATTACCCAAAGGACGCCGTGCTAGCCGGCCATCATGTTGAGCAGCTTCGACAACCAAGTCATTTAATTCTGCATGTCAACCACTGATCAGAAAGTGTCTGAAGGACAGAATAATATAATTTACAATTTTGTCAGGCATGAACACTTAGAAAGTAGATATGTACGATACCTTGAGAACAGGTACAACACAAAATACGAGCAAATGCACGAAGTGATTGTGGAATTCCCTTCCCTTTTCCTCTAGACGACCTTACTTCCCTGTAACATAATGAGTTACAGGGGAAATGCAGATAAGCGACAATAATATATAGTTCAATAAGCAGTCCACATGATAGTACAGAACCCAGATCAATATTGGATAACTGAGAGCTCAGCAGGGTTTTCATCAAGCTTGGTCAGAAAACGTGTTGTATACAATTGGCCAATTGGGAATCTCAATAAGAGCAATGAGATAATTTTAAAACATGATACCAAGCTATACACTTTTATATACAATGTCAAAAATGTCAATGGTACTTGTAAAACTATCAGTGTAAAATAAAAAATGTTTATAATCTACTAAATCTAACTTCATATATTAATTGTTACATTCCATTAGACCATTACTTCAGCTATCCAACTAGACTTCTCTTCTAGAACTCTAGCTTATTACAGTCATAAGTAGTTGATTGGAAATTGAAAAGTTAATGACACATAAATAAGAAAGGACCAAAAGATTATACTTACTTTATCACAAAAGACGCCCCAGAAGGACTGAAGTTTGCATCCTTGACTTTTGACAAACAATGCTTTTGCAGAATATCCAACTTCATTCCTCGTAGATGATCATTGTAAGGTATATCAAGGTGAATAATAATCTGAAAATAATAGGTGTTACACAAGTGTAAATTTCACATGACAGCATCCTTGCAGTTAAGCATTACAATATTAGTCCAAATTTATGCAACACCATGATAATATCTGGGCAAGTAATCATTACTTTCTACATAAATCTAAGGTGCAAGCCACAAATGCATCAACATAAACTAGGAGATTACACAGTTCAAATATTTACAAAGAACAATTGACAGATTAGAGGCACAAATTGATACTGCACTGGGTGACAACAGTATAATACAAGGAGAGAGATAAGCATTTAACTGGTATTCAGAGAGTAAGAAGACAAAGAACAGATGAAGAAGCCTTTGAAGCCCTCAATGGAAACCAAGAACCTAACAAGAACCGGTCAAAGGCAGGAAATGATACACCGTTCATCTATTTCTAGCAATGCCGAAAATGTCACTGCATTAAAGCCCTTGCTCTATAATCTCAGATATGTTGTTCATAGCTCCAAGTTAGCAGTTTTGGACTTTTGGAGTGTTTTTTTTTTTGTTTTTTGATTCAGAAGTAGGAAGGAGGCTGGGAGAGGTTGGTACAGAATAAGGGAAAATTTAAGACTTTAGTAACAGGAAACTAGGGTTGAAAAGTAAAACACATGCAATTACAGACAAGCATCCCCTATTGTGTCAAAAGTTATATTAATATGAATACACAACCTTTATTCAATAATGTTTGTTGGACATTACTTATATAGGATGCTTTAAATGTCTGCATTCTATATTCAAACCTTTACAGTTGCTGCAATTAATTTCCAAGTAGTATGTGATCACAGGCACTAACTATACTCCCTCCGTTTTCTTTTGATCTTCTTGTTAGATCCTGACACTATTGACAATTTGAAAGAATTTTTTAATTCCCAATATACATGATGAATATTGAATACATAGTCAAGTGGGGTCTTGTTTGATTCGTTTCAATGAATACTATATTTTTTTTATCAACACATTATTAGAGATATTAATAATCAAAATGTGCATTGACAAACGTGCACACTGCACAGTCAATACAAAAAGAGCAAAAGAAAGCGGATGGAGAACAAAACAAGGGTAAAAGCTAATGTTTTATTTATTTGACTAGTACCTAAATATGGTTGTTCTGTCAAACATGTATTCATTATACTATTGTAGTAAAAAGCAGGTATCCCTAAGGATGTTTTATATACACCCACCCCCCCCCCCACCCCCAAAAAAAAAAAAAAAAAAAAAAAAAAAAAAAAAAAAAAAAAAAAAAAACCTATGGTTGGATCTAGGGATGTTTCTAACATGAGTTCCTGATTTTTATTGTTCCATGCAATTGCTTCAATTGATGCACATATGTGACATTGAATTTTTTTTGTGTCAACTACTCAACTGCCCCTCTTCACCCTGACACTTGACCACCTTACACATTCTCTTGTGTATCCCTGCATTATAAAGGTAGAAAGAATGGCTCTTGACAACAAGGGGTAATAGAAGTTTAAAATTGCTGAAAAAAGATGTTGTGAACAATGGGATCTCTAGACTCCAATGCAAATATTACTATGTTCAATCAAACCCTCAGCAATCACAAGTTAAGGTGTGAAATGGAACAATAACTTTATGTTCCATGACGTATGAACAATAGTACTGCATCATCATATATAAGTTGTGAAAGGGTAGCAGTTAGCCACTCTCATAAATTTTACAAGGACTGCCTAAAACAGGGTTGGTAATCAAGGAAGAGGGTATACAATTCAATAGATTCTGGAAATACAATTTCAAAGTGAGTAACACACTTGAGCTAATGAGCTTGGTAAAAGATAGTCCATAATCCATAGAACTGGGACTTCACACTTCAATGCATCCATTTCCCCTATTTTGGATATTGATAATAAACCATTATTGACTCGGACTATGCCTTCTACATCTCCGCATAACAATTATGGTGAGAATTAGTCAAAGATTAAATAAAAAGGCACTCTACCAAAAGTCCAAAACATCCTTATCCTCGTTGTTTAAAACATGTTTTGTAACTTTAGCTCCAAAACTACTTTAAAATCTAGGGGTGCCGAGGTGGCATGTTTATCAGTGAGGATATGATAAAAATAAAAGGGCTTCTCAAGTGAATAAGAAACACAACCTTGGGGCCTTGTTCTTATCATCAGCAATATCCAGACCTTGGATTTGAGATTTCAAAGATTGCATGCAAGTTGGATGATGAATTTTTTTAACAGTAGGGAGGGATTATATAAAATGACCGTCATTTTCCAACCTTGTTACTCATATTCTTTATTTCTCTGTCCTCTAGTACAACATGGACATGTCATTAGATTTGACAAGGTGGCAGATTAGCACATACCAATCAGCCATCCAATATACTTCCTCTCATTACACATAATGTATCTTAATCTAATAAAGGAAAGCCACTCCGGATCATTGTTTTAAGCAAGGAAAAAATTCACAGTTTTTAACTGAACACACCAGACAAAAGAAACAAGCACAGAATGTATCAATGAGATTCAGCCAAACTGTTAGCCTTGTTCTATGGGTTGGAGAGGAAAGCCTTGAAATATGTCAATACATAAATTTGAATCCAACACAGGTCTACAACTGAGAGTTTCGGTGACATACTGACATAAAAAAGACAGCGTTAAACAAGTTGCAAAACAAAGTAATCAACAACTAGGTTAATTCCTAGTAAAATTACTGAGATGAAGTGCAGTAAAAGACATAGGCTTCTATCTCTAATCAAATCTGAAAACTAACCTGGTCATACAAGTTGAATGGGACTGTAAAACCAAAGTCTAACAGAAGCGTTGAGTTCGGAAACCTTCCATACCGTATCAAAAAAAAAATTGGGACATATTGCAATTTATTAGCTCACAAACATTCTATGAACCACAGAGATTCAGAAAGTGGAGCAAAGGACTACTGCCCTTTTCAATAGTTTTTTACAAAAACTTGTTACACCCAATATGTCATGTTACGAGCTTACAAGATAAAACAAGTGTCACCCTATGAGGAAGCCAAAACTTCAATCACTTCAAGAGTTCAAGTCTTGGTGGAAGTGGGGAATTCAAAGATATGCATAAAATTAATCGGTTAATGGACAGAGTGACAGACTAGTAGAAGCGGATGCAAGAATTATTGGATGAGTTGGAAAAGTGTTGAAAACAATTTGTAAAAGTTCAAAATATATTAGGACTATCACTATTGAGAAAAGGAGGAAAAAAAAAAAAAAAGATAGCAGCAGAAAATTCATGGTTTGGAGAGTAAGAAAGCAACAAAGAAAGCAGAGGATATGTATTCACTAGCTTGATCCAAAGCAAGAATATTCCTATCTGAAACCAATATATAAAACTATAAAAGTACGAGTACAACAACAACGACAACAACAAAGGCTTAGTCCCAAAAAGATTTGGGGTGGGCTAACATGAATCGTCATAAGGAATCGTACGATAAAAGTACGAGTACAAATCCGACGAAAAATATCTGAATTCAAATGGGAAGCAGGTTAGATTTGGAGGCAGCATAGAATCCAACCCAGACCTGAATCTCTCTCTCTCTCTCTCTCTCTCTCTCTCTCTCTCTCTCTCTCTCTCTCTCTCTCTCTCTCTCTCTCTCTCTCTGAACATAGAGTCCAACCCAGACCTGAATCTCTCTCTCTCTTCATGACATCCTTTTGAACATGAATTAGAAACCTAAGTTAAAAAGGAAACATAATTCTACCACTACTGTTGCATAATGGCATTCAGTAATCTTAATATTTACAAGGCTAAAGATCCCAATGAAGCCCCAAAAATAGCCACTTTGAGGGAGGCACTATGCAACAGATAATTATGCATAGTTGCAGACAGGACTGCTCAAGAAAGACAGGACATATTGACGTAATATGAACTAATAAAGAGATTCCTTCACCTCTTCATCTGGAGCATAATCTCGATCAGCAATGACCTGAAAGATCAAAATTAATCAAAAAGTAAGAATAGGAAATATCTTTGAGGGGAAGCATAATAAAACATTTAGGGATTATGAATAAAGGAATACTCAAGTAATGGAAGGGTTATAATACTGAAACTAAAGGTTTGCTCAATTGCTCATTTGCAATTTATACTATATGACCTATCCATTGCATAATCCCTAAAAATCCACAAACTGTTCCAGCCATGAGAATTAAAAAAATTACACGTGGTTGGACTTCCGTCTGCACATCAAACATCCAAATGCCGACTCTATGAGATAAAATGTGCTTCCTCCATTCATTTAGTTGGAACATTTGAAAATTTACACTATTCATACTAACAATTAACCTTCTTTATTGATTAATATGTTGGGCAAAATATAGTCATGTGGGATCTTGTTAGATTTGTCTCAATTTATATTTTCACAATATCTAATTTTTATATCATTTCACTCATCTATATTTCAAGATACAAAGGGTTAAACTATGCATTGGCAAGCATGAAAAGTTAAGTGTTGCAACTAAAAGTGAACGGAGGAAGTACATCCATGAAGGTACAGCTAAACTTGTCGATAATTTCCATTTTTGCAGACTACACACATTACTCATCAGCCATATAAAAATAACATTTCTCTCTATCCAAACTTTAATGAATGAGGAACAGAGTTCGTTCAATAATCAAAATCTTTTTTGAAACTTTATTGACTCATTAGAATACTAAGCTCAGTAGTTAACTTACATAAGACAGTAGACTACCAAATAAAGGGCCCTTCAAAACTCCAAAAGCAGCTAACAGTGACAACTTAATACTTTTTGGGGATAAAGAACAGCAAAATATCTATCTAATTTTACTTCACTTATATTATTTCTTTCGCATGAGTTCATTCACCAGTCTACTGATAGTAAAACAAACAAAGAATGTGTCACAAATAGAAATTGATATAAAGATTAAAAAAGGAAAGAAAAATTATCAACCAGTAACCTAAAGGAATATCAGAGGTGGAGATCAGAAAGAAACTACATTATTACATTTTAAAAAAAAAAAAAATCTTAATGTTTAAATTGAAAAGAAGTATATACCCAATGAAGGACCGCCTTAAGGAATCAAGAGAGCATATGAGATCTAAATAGGACAAGCTGGACAACAGCGCCAGTTGCAACTGTGTGATTACTATATAAAGCATAATCTTAAATTGGGCAAGCAAGCAAACAAGAAGTCATCTCTAGGTAAATTTAAAAAGTCCTACCTCTGATGATCTATCTTTTACATCACATAATACAACGGAGTCGGAGGTTCCGTCATGATTTAAAAAGTCTGCAAATGGAATCTGCAGAAACTCTTTAGTAATTTTGAGAGGTGATATCAAGACTAAGACGGATGATACATACATATAATTTGCACAAGTACTTGAATCCTGAATTACTTGAGTGACTATACCAGCGATTGTCCCTTCATACTTTCCCAAGCTCGAGATGCAACTGAAAGTTTGCAATTTACAAAAATGGCATCAATAATAGGACCATGCAGATCTTTGTGGCTTTTTCAAGCTGTTCAACCACCACATGCATAATGCATTGCCAAAGGATACATTATTGCTACATAAACATCTAACTAAATGACTATCAATTTTTATTTTGTTGGACTTTAAACAATAAATTCTACAACATACTTTATACCTTGTAATAAATTTTTAACATGATAGTGTCTACAGTAAAACTGAGTGATACATTATTTTCACAAAACTACGCAACAGTGCTATTATCAGTTTATCTGTTAATCACAGCAAAGAGAGATATAAGCCAAGCAGTAATTTATTTGAATATATCCACTTACCTATACCGTAGGCATGTTTAAAGCTGTCAAATTGAACATCCTCAAATGCATCAGGAAAGCGGTCAAAAACCTGAAACAAATAAATCCTTCCCTAATAATGGGTCATATGTGATGCAAATTGACAGAATAAAAGCAAATATGGAGAATATGCCACGGACACAGGTAATATCATCCTATGCAAACATTATATCACCTTCGTTTTTGTGTTCTAGTCACTTTCCATTTAGGTCTAATTATTTATGTACTCGCATCTACTTTATTCCATTTTTAAAAACTCCCTTTACTATTTACCCCTCTTACCCCACAACATCTACACCTTTCTTACACCAACCCACCTTTTTATTCCATCTCTCATACTCTACAGTCTACACCAGTGTTTGGAAAAAGTGCGGCTAGGCGCTGAGGCGCAAGGTGATAGGGGGTAAGCGCTTATTTTGGCCTCGGCGAGGCGTTTTAATTAGGCGCACCTGAAGCAAATTTCTGCCAAATTTTTTTACTGTTTATATAGTGCGCCTCACTTCAATGAGGCGCACCTAGGTGCTGCATAACCCTTATCACCTCAGCGCGCCTTAAGCTTTTTTATACATTGCTCTACACTTATTTTCTTATACCCACTCACAATTTTTGATGTTTCTTAATTCTTTTATGTGCCGATAACTATAACAGAGTAGGTAAAAAACGAAGGTATTATAAGTCCTATATTAATATTAATAAGTATCAAATATACTCGTCTTCCTAAGGCAGTAATTTGCCAAACTGTAAATGGTCTTGTAAATTGCAAAACATACTATAATCTTCAATTAAATCCTGATTGGTGACCAATCTAAAGCCTACTAGCGTAGAAACTATTCATAAAAGTAATAATAAACCTAATAAAAAATAAAAAGCTTACTGGTTTGATGACCAAATAGTCTTGTTTAATTTGAGCATCATGGTTAATTGTCTCCTGGTACACTAAACTTTGTCGTATCATCTCTAGTTCTGTTTCACTCCAAAATATCTACAAAATGAAAAAAATAAATAAAAAATAAATTTTACATTCTGCATTCACTATGACACCGATCATCCATAGGGTGGGGGGAAGAAGTACTATACAACATGGCCAACCTAGGAAGTAATCAATTATGTACTTTCACATAATCTTAAACACACACACACACACACACACACACACACACACACACACACACACACACACACACACACACACACATATGTATATTTAGAAAGATGGAGGAGCATTGTAGCAATACTACAAAATTTGATTGCTAAATGAAGTCACCATTTTTTAAGTAGCACATAATTGCCGGTTCTTTTCTATGGGTAGCTATTGAGCAATCCAAATTGATAGCCCACTTAACAAATCCTTTATCTACACTAAAAATATGCTCTTTAGGGATGCAAATGAACCGAGTCAGGCAAGCCAATGAATTAAGCTAAGTCCAACTAAGATAATCCAAATTTTTTTTAATTTTTTTTTTTTTTTGTAATATTAAAGATCTTTTCAACTGAATACAACATAAGATTAACAAGAGCCACAAAGATACAAGAATTTATGTACATGTTTATAGACAAAAGTAAAATAAATATTTAAATACAACTGAGTCAAGCCTGCTTTGTTATATGATACCAAATGTTAGGCCGTAAAGCATTGTCACGTGCATAAGATGAATGTGGCGAGATGCGTACTTTGCGATCGGTGGGTGGCCATACAAGAAAGGATCGTTTGCGGAACGAGATAATTAGGAAGAAAGTAGGGGTTACATTGATTGAGTACAAAATGAGGGAGAATCGCTTAAGATGGTTTGGTTATATAAGGAGACAAAGTGAGGCTCCGGTAAGGAGGCTTGAAGAGTTGCAAAGTGTTGGGATTGCGAGTGGTAGGAGAACAACTAAGAAAACTTGGAAGAGATGATTGAGAGTGATATGAGTGCTTTGGGGATTGAGGAGAATATGTAGTTGGATAGGGCGGTGTGAATGGAGAAATTCACATTAACAACGTTTCATGATTGTATATACTTTTTAAAATTTATCTTTGTATTTACTTTGATTACTTTACCCCATTCGTGTTTTATGAACTACGAGTATATTGATTTCCTCTGCTAAAGTTTTCCCAACCTTATTGTTTTTACAACAACATTTTTACCACTCCTTTAAATCTTTCTTAAATTTGATTCTTAGTTCTCTTATAAAACTCATGTGGTATAGATTAGGCCTCAAACATATGCCTAAGAGAAGAAATCGAGGTCAAAGGCAGGAAGAACACTTACGAGCATTAAATCAGTGGTTTTAGGGGATGGCAGATGCTGATATAAGGAAATAAGGAATCCTATTTTTACATTATTCATTTTATTTAAAATTTGATTTGAAAAGGCAGAGCTTTAGAAGCTGATTGACAAAAGATATTTCTTGAAAACAAGAATAAGATTCAACATACTTACGGGTCTCACGAAGAAATTTATTTAAAAAAAAAAAAAAAGAATGAAGCCCAAACACAATGCCTCAGGAAAAAGAAAATAAAATAAAAAAATAAAAAAAATAAAAAAAGCAAAAAAAAAAACAAAACAAAAAACAAATATCATCCGGATCATAACCAACTTTCCAACTCAATGTAAACATTGGCTTGTTGCGCATCAAGGCATCAATTTGAGTAATGTAATTAATTGGACCATGTTACTTTGTAGTTGCTCAACTTTAAAATAAGGTGATATTGTCAGACAATAATGGACACCTCCAACAATCACATATACCAAAATAGGTTGGTTTAAAAAAAAAAATAATAAAATAAAATAAAATAAAAGTAAAATTATTCACATAAAATTTAAGGTGAACTAATAATGCCAAAATTTTCAATCCCTGCTAATACAACAAATCCAATCCAATTGTTATATATACACAAAAAAACACAATTAACTAGTAAACAACATAACTACCCCCTGTTGGATGATAACAAAGTACATAATCACAAGAAAACGCTCCTACAAGATTAGTTGTCAAGTAATGAATGTACATAATACAATACACCATATTTCTTTGTCAAATGGTGCAACAAATTATATGAAACATGACAAAGATGCAAAAGAATAGGGAAACAAATTTCAAGGTGGAATCAACAATAAAGTGCTCTTCACAACGGCACACAACCCATTTATAAGAAATAACAAATGCAAGAGAAAGAAATGAAATTACCGTACTATTCAGCTCACCATGCTGAGGAAGACTAGAGATGTAAGGAGCCCATTCAGAGCTCTACCAGGAAAAAAAAAAACACAGAAAAATATCATATCAAACACCAACTTAATTAAGATTCCAAAATAAATATAATGAGTCTTTTTATCTATCTATCTATCTATCTATCTATATATATATATGCACTTCATCTATTCTTAACTAATTGCATTAACTAACTTTTAAAACATTAAAGATAATTCTTCATCCCTGAACTCATTAGTTGGATATTAAGCCATACCTGACCTTTTTTCTGCTCAGCTAGAATAACTACTGCAAGTTTTGCAACAGTCCCTACTGTATCAGCAACCAAAGGCTTAATTTCAGGAAGGATATCATCAGGAGATATTTGCTGTCAGTTCAAAAGTGACAGGATCTTGAGAAAATTTAGTTAATAGTATCCTGGACGTAATACAACTTCCTCCACAACATTTACCACTATAAAAGGAACTTTCAAAAGGCAGTCTCCAGCTTGTATGCTCTTACAAGCAAACAACGACCTATAAGGGGGGGAAAAACGATTACAATGTGAATAGTATTTCCTACTGGACAGAATAAAGTTTCAATCAGCCTTATCATCCCCTAAGTTGAACTGCACTATTTGTTTTTATTTAACTTGACAGCTAGCAACCACATCCATTGTGCAGATTTACACCATTTTTTTGAAATTCTGGAAAAAGAACTTAATTCCATTAACCACACTCATGGAATAAAATTAAAACATGCCATTGTATTTATAAATGAAATTCTAGCAATCCATGGTATGAAATTATGAATTGCTCCCTGGTCTGTGTGGAAGTGGGCTTGTTGTGAAGCTTGTGCCGAAAATTCTTTTATATTTCACAATGAAGATGAGTCAAATAACGAGTTTTGGAAGCCCGCACTTCAAAATACGTCATTTTGAAGTTTGGAATTCAGTTAAAGCAGCAGCAGGTAGCATGCGACCCACTCCTACGACACGTATCCCCTTGTTAGGGCTCAAAATTATACTTGTTAAGATAGCTTAGTGTTGATATGAAATTATGAATTTTACAAAATTTCATGTGCACAATATATAAAAGAGTAAATCTAACATGGTAACATACTAACATATACAGGGTGCACAAGACCCAATATTGCACAAGTTAATAATTTTGTTGTAAAAGGCGGTGGTTGCTTGGATACTTAAAATAGTAACTTTAACGTCATGTCCTCTCCATCAAAATTTTTACTGGAGAGAAAATCTTTTGCACAGTATGGAGTAGATTTGAATTGATTGCAACTGATTATTTACCACATCCTCTGTTTTTTTTTTTTTACTTGACCCGCTTTGACTTTTACACTATTCACCACCCCTCCTTTGACCGTGTTTTGTGAATAATATGACTAACATATTCATGTTTGATATTATTATTGACCATGAATTTGATATAAATGCTGTGAAAATCTTGTTTGGGAGACGAAAGTAGTAATCATTAATATGAAGTAGTTTTCGAGAAATGGTTGAATTGTTTTGTTAATTGTTTAGGAAAATGAGTTGATGGTAGTGGAATTTCCGAATTCTTCTTGTTTAACTGTAATTATTACTGATGGAAATCGGAAAATGATGAAGAAGATGATTTCAGGAAGTTAATAGGCGGTGCCGCTTGTCTTAAAATTTGTTCATTAGTTGTAGGAAAAATAGGATTAAGAGCAAAATCAAATTTTTTGGGGGTGAGAATACTTATACTGGCGTATACTTATACTTATGCCAGTATAAGTATTCTCACCCCCAAAAAATTTGATTTTGCTCTTAATCCTATTTTTCCTACAACTAATGAACAAATTTTAAGACAAGCGGCACCGCCTATTAACCTAAAATCCGAACTCTTCTTCATCATTTTCCGATTTCCATCAGTAATAATTACAGTTAAACAAGAAGAATTCGGAAATTCCACTACCATCAACTCATTTTCCTAAACAATTAACAAAACAATTCAACCATTTCTCGAAAACTACTTCATATTAATGATTACTACTTTCGTCTCCCAAACAAGATTTTCACAGCATTTATATCAAATTCACAACAAATTCAAATCATAACATATACTTAATTGTACAAAATCAGGCATGAAAAAATTGAAAGGAAGAAAAATGAACCTTCCAAAATCAGAATTTCCAATCGAAAGAAATTGAGAAATCTGAACTCCAGCTTTTTCCTCCAACCATGGCAAAAAATCATCGCAATTTTCGTCTCTACACCTCGAAACCTATCAAATCGTAAATTTCAAAATTCGGAAAAATTATGTGTTGATTATTCAGATTGAAATCTGAAATTGTAAGCAGAAAAGATAATTGGAAGAAAGAGATGACGAACCTTGAAGCTGTAAGGAGATACACAGTGCTGAAATTTGAAGAGAAGAAGATTAGGAGAAAGAGTGAGAATTGAACGTTGGAAATAGGAGAAATTCAGCGCTTCGCGTAAATGAAAGCATTGTCAGCTAATGTATTCTAGGCTTCTAGCTGTTGACTCTACCGTCTATTTATACGGTGAGTACCCGATTAGATATCCGATAGGCACGCCCTTTTTAGTTTCTACTTCGTATCTACAACCTTTTAAAAGTGGGAAGTCGAGAGTGATTAAGAGTTTTGGCAATTAATTAAGAGTTTTGGCAAAACTTTGAAAGTGAATAAACTTGAAAAGGAATAGTGGTGTACCAAAAATGTCCCCTTTTATTTTTCAGATTTTCGAAAATGCCCTTACAACAAGTCTTTCTTTTAGTCTTTTTCTTGCTCCAGCGTTCACTTTATCAACTATTCTTTCTCTTTTATCTAAATATAATTTCTCACTTCCTTTTTTCCTGCTCCAGCTTTCATTCTTATAATTTTTCACTCCCTTTTTACTTGTTCTAACTTTCATTTTTGGTCCACCTTTCATTTTTGGTCCAGCTTTGATTCTTGTTTCTTTTTTTTTCATCTGAATTTAATTCTGCGGTTCATGAATTTGCTGTTCACGCATTAATGTGAAGTATTTTCGATAAGTATTTATTCTCGGTTTTAAAATAGTGTTCAATTAGCTGTTTAATTTGCATGCAAGCTTTGTAATTATGGGTTTGATTGATATATATTTTGAATTTTGATAATTCGTTTTTAGGGTTTTTTTTTTAATTTTCTATTTGCTGGAAATCGAAATTATGTTGAATTTGGAGTATTCAACTTGCGCCCAATTCACGTATTTTCGTGAGATTAGTTGATGGGATCTCTGGGTTTTTAATTTTGGTTCTGAAATTCTGTTTTTGCCAATTGGGTTTTCGGTTTTTGCTTTCAACGACTTTGATTTGTTTATTTGCTGAAATTCGAGATTATTTCGAATTTGGAGTATTATGGTTTTGCCGAAATCATATATTTTCATGAAATTGGTTTATCGGATCTCTGGGTTTTTAATTTGGTTGTTAAATTCTGATTTTGACAACTGTGTTTCCGTTATTTGATGTCAATAACAATTTAATCCAAGTTTCTCCAAGGCAAGTAGGCATAGGGGATCTTCTAGATTCAACATGTTCAAGCACACAGACGCTAATCAAGCATGTCCTACTCTACCCGACCCGAAATCAACCCGAAACCCGAAATGATCCAACCCGACCCGAACTTGACCCGATAATCTTTTGACCCGACCCGAAATGACCCGACCCATACCCGACCCGAATGACCTGCCAAAATGGGTCATTCGGGTCGGGTCATTTCGGGTCGGGTCAAGTTCGGGTCAAAAGATTATCGGGTCAAGTTCGGCTCGGGTCGGGTCATTTCGGGTTTTGGATTGATTTCGGGTCGGCCGATAATCGGGTCGAGTCGGGTATCGGGTCAACACTTCAGGTCGAGTTCGGGTCGGGTCAATTTTCGGGTCGGGTCAACTTTCGGGTCTAATTTTCGGGTCAACTTCTAGTCGAGTCATATTCTGGTGATTCATTGAGTTAAATTCATTTCTGTATATATATTTATTTATTTATTTTTGACGAAAAACTCACTATATTTATTAAGGCTATTTTTTTCATGGATTATAGTAATTGTTTGACTTTTATTAACCTTTTTTTTTGTGTGTGTGTTTAGAATTTTAGACTGAGAATCACTTTCAGGATCTCCTGAAACTAAGAGGTATGCTCTAACTAATTGAGTTATACCTCATTCTCTTATTGATCTTAGTTTTAATAAGTACACTTATTATCATTTTCATTCTTGTAATAATTTCTTTGAATTATTCTTATACCCCCTCTGTCCCAAATTACTCTTAACGATTTAACATTTTGCACTATTCACACATCTCACTTTGACCATCTTTTTTAGCTATTATATGAATGTCAATGTAGTCATGTAAGATGTTGTTGGGTCTATTTTAATGTATAATTTCCTAATATAAACTTTTTATAACTTATATAATTATTTACTAAAAGAAGTTAAAGGTCAGGTCATTTTCGGGTCGGGTCAACTTCGGGTCTCAGGTCAACTTCGGGTCGGGTCGTTTCGCGTCTCGGGTCATCTCGGGTCGGGTCGTTTCGGGTTGGGTCATTTTGGGTTTCGGGTCAAGGTCGGGTTAGTTCCACTTCGGGTTGGGTCGGGTTAATTCGGGTTTTGGGTCAATTTTGGGTCACTAGTTTCGGGTCGATTTCGGGTCATGGGTCGGTTCATCGGGTCTGGGTCAGGATTGCCAGGTCTACTAAACATACAAAAGATATAAGCCCTTCTACGGTATACATGATATGACTCACAGATGGGACGATTAAAATATAAATTTGCAAGCTTTTCTAGATCTATTTCATTACCACACACAATTCTATTTAAATCTGGATCTGTCAGATTCATATGACGTTCAAAATCCTAGTAATAATATTCGCGCAGAGTAGACATCGCAACGAGATTCCTAGCAGGAAAGCCAAAGATAGCACCAAATTCCTCCGGCAGAGGACAAAGTTCATCATAGTCAAATTTGAAACAATGGGTTTCCGGACTCCAATAGTCTAAGGCTGCTCTCAGAAAATCATGTTTAATTGCTACATGCCTTAATGCTAGTAAACCTCTCACATGAAATAATTTTAGCTCTCTTTTGTCCGCATTAGTCAAAGAATATGACCAGTCGCGCAATATGTTATTAAAATTCTGAGACATTATTTTTGAAATATGAAATTCTAATTATTTTATGTTTTATAATTATGCATATCACGGATTAACTAGTCGTAATTTATAGCCAAAAGGGTTCAGAAACGCGAAAAATCTATCTAGTTGTACGCGTAAAATTCACTGCCGTCTGTCGTGACACGGGATTTCCCATCGTGTCACGGGGCTTAATACCGTGACACGACAATTAATACCGTGACGCGGTAAAACCTGACGCGTCACGATGGTCACGCGTTTTCTAAATTTTATCTTGACCTATTTTTTCCGGATTTTTGTATTTTTCCTTCACCGTTTTCGAGAGTTTTATTCCCAATAAAATTTTCCCTTTATTTTATTTTATCTTTTTTATTTTTCCTTGTTAGTTTACTTTATTTTATTTTTATTTTTAGGGAGTTATAAAACTTGTTCCATTTTCTTTTTATTTTTATTTTTGGGGGAGTTGTAAAACTTGTCCCATTTTTATTTTGTTTTTATTTTTGGGGGAGTTGTAAAACTTGTTCCATTTTATTTTTATTTTTATTTTTGGGGGAGTTGTAAAACTTGTCCCATTTTATTTTTATTTTTATTTTTGGGGAGTTGTAAAACTTTTCTCATTTTTATCTTTTTTGTCTTTTTTCTTTTGGGAGAAGGTCGGTACCCTCCACTTACGAAAATAATAACGGTATTTTTTCACATTGTTATTAAATACACAATCACACACAATAAGTCTCAAGCACACACTAACATGCACACTAATTGAGTAAAGTCAAAATACATAAAGCGTGAGTAAAATATACAAAGTAAGTCACAGTACATAGATAGTGCCAAGTGTCATCAACCAAGTACAATAAAAACCCTCGGTCAAAACTGCTCAGATCTAGAACTAGGATCAGTGTCATCGCAAGTCTGCGAATATGGGAACGGTGAACCAAAGAGTCCCTCCATCATTCGAGTATGAGGAGTAGTGTCCCTGCTGGTCCCCACAGCTTCAGTAGAAGACAAGCTCAAAGCAAGACCCGTCTAGCTGGTAAACTGAGTAGGCTGACACCATGATGTAGGAAGCGTCGGAGGAGGCAGTGTCCTATACAATGGAACTGAAAACAAGCCCTGCACCAGAGGAGGCAACGTCCCAGACAATGGAACTGAAGATAAGCCCTGATCCACGAGAGTAATGACTAGCCTAAACTCGGACTGTGAAGACTGGAATGGCTGGGAAGGATGCTGCCCCTGAGCCTAAAAGTGCTGGAGTGGCTGAGAAAACTGAGGCTGCTGCCATTGAGACTCCTGAAACGGCCGAGAAGGCTACCACTGAGTCTGAGAATGCCGACGAACATCAGGAGATCGTCTGCAGTAGGCTCCCCATCGTCCGAGCCTCTATGCCTCGAGCGCGAGCGAGACCTCCGTCGCTCCTGAAAGACACAAAGTATCAATAGTGCAAGATAAAACAAATACTAAATAAGGGGAAGAAAGGTGAATATACCTCGAGGACATCACCATAACCACTCCGACAACTCGCACCATGTAGGAGCTTGATGACACAATGCTTCAAAGCATCAATCAACCTCATAAACCCCATCATGTCCGAGTGCGTGACCTAAAAACAAGAAAAGATCAGTAACAGGTGGTATTAAAAAGGATGAAAGACATGTAAAAAAAAAGTTTACCGGCTCGAACTCATCGGGTAGAGACTCTTGCGCCTGTCTGAAGCCCTCCAGTGCATCAGCAATATGCTCCTCAACAATACCAATTGGCCCGAGTAACGAGCAGACTGAGGCAGGAGCTGAACCTTCCCCCTATGATGAGCAGTCGTCTGAAAACATGATCAAATAATCAGGTTATTCAACGGTTTAAACAGAGACTAGCAACAAAATTCTCAAAAATAATCAAACCTCGGGAAGACGTGGTGGAGGGGCTAAGTAAGGAAGCAGGTCCTCAGAATAACCAGCATCCATGCACACGAGCTCTTGCCAAGGAAACTGATATCGCTCTTCTCTGCCTACAAGAGACACCAACTGAGTCGAATGCAACATCGACTCCTGCGAAAGCAGTGGTACTACAAAATGGTCAGCGCTATGTTGACGAACCACACGCTCTACAAGGTACCAAACAGGTCGTAATGTACCAAAGAAGATAGTACGATACGTCAAGAGCTTCATAGCCTCGGAAAGGTTAGTCAAACCAGCCCAAGGTCGATACTGGATCTCGACAGAACCTAAAAGCCATAAATAAAGTTACAATAAATACTGTGAGGTCACATCATAATCAGAAAAATATTTCGTAAAGGATGATCCTTACGCCAATAGTAGTGGTGCCCCGACGCAGTGATCCCCGTAGGCTCGGTACTGACTCCACCCGAGACTCGCCCAGTCACACCAGTTGGCACCGATGGGAAAGTCATGGACCATTCCCCGGCGCCGTCGAGGGCCCAATCTAGGAAAGTACTCATAGAACCAAAGCTGCAATAAGAGTAATCTATAAGTATATAAGCCAAAGGGATAAGAGAAAAACGCAAAGGAAGAAAATCATCATCTCCACAACTCTCCAAAGACCGAAGATAGAAATAGGGGACTGATCGGTCAACTGTCGACTACCATGCTGTAGCGACGAAAGTAGATCAGCGTACCCCAAACTGGCCTAGCTAAAGGACTCGATCTCACCAATCCTAGCCAAAGACGGCAAGAAGCAGAGAAGCGTGCGAGAACTCATGTCATGAGAAAGAGTCCCGGAAATAAGAATCAATACGAAGACCCGCACTCATTGCTCGGGAGTCGTATCAGCAATGTCGAAGGCAAGAGCAAGGACGGAGGCTAGCTCTGATCGCCTGCTCCGAAAACCACCCCGGGGTACTGGCTGAGTCCTAATATGATGAACAATAGGACCTAACAACTCTAACACCTGACTCGAATCCCAAGTAAGATCAGGCATCTGCTCAACGGGCCGAGTGGTGAAGCGCAAGCCGCTAATCATGCTGAAATCTAGAGGGTCACTGTTATCTCCCCCCAAGCAAAGTGGAAAGTGTTGGTAGTATCCCAAAAATACTCCAACAGCGCTCGAACAATTGTCGAACCACAACCTCAGGGGCTGCGAAATTCCACAACCGCTGAATAGAAATTTACTAAACCAGTAGACTCCCACAAGGTGTTGGTGACAGGATCTCCTATGATGATCCCGTATAGCCGGGGAATCAAGTCTCCAGCTCCTGATCCATGATGGCGAGGCACGCCATCGACTATGATAATAAGTGGACGGTGAGAAATATGGTTCTCACAACAGAAAACCAACTGGTTTGGTGTCCATTGAGGTGGAGTCCACCTACCCCTACCAGTAGATGAGCGAGGCTCAGTCTCCAAGACATCGTCATCCATGCCCTCGGGAACCGTGGGAGTGTCCTCTCGGAAGGCCTGACGCCGGCCACGAGTTAAATGTCTCGATCTCGTTGTCTAGGCATGCTATTATGTTCAAACAAAATAAAAATCTAAATAATTAGCATCATTTCCTAAGTGTAGACACCCATTTGTGTCTCCCCAAAACCAAACCCAGTGATGAGTACCTTTCACGTCGAATCATAATCGAATGAAACGAAAGTGTGGAAAGGTCTAGTGTTGCAGAAAGTTTTATTTCTTTTCTCTTCTCTCTGTTTTGAAAACTTTATTTTAAGAAAACAGCCAATCTAGTTTGGTTGGTCCATTGATATGGGTCCAATAGTGATATAGTTGGATGAAGCTTGTAAAGACCTTTCCAATGATATATTATAAGCCTAATTCCGATGAATATTGAGGAAGTTATGGCCAATTTACTAAACTGGGCCCAGTTTGATCTTTAAGTACGGCCTAATGATCTAGGGGAGGGCCTAATATAATTTATCATTCCTAATGCAATTAGGAATGGTTTTAGTCTTCTAGAACATTCTAGAAAGTTCTTTTCATTCCTAATTCCATTAGGATTCTTCAGAGTTTTAATCAAGATCAAATAGCATTTTCAACTGAAATTATATTATTTTATCTTTCAGTACAGGAAATTTATCAGATTTTCGAAAATGCGTGGAAAACCACTTTGGCGTCCAACCCCAGGCCTTGGCGCCTGGAATCGGGATTGGCGCCAGATGCCAGCATTGGCGCCTGGCGCTAGCCACTGGTCCTGGCGCCAATTAGCCAGGGCTGGCGCCAAGGTTGTTTTGCGGTCTTCAGACTCTGTTTTGATAAATTATCTTTTTTGGGTGATTTTCTCTATAAATATCGTATCAAAAACTCCGTTTTCAATCATCATCTACATCTATCATTCACCAATTCTCTTTATTCTTAAGTCTTCACCAACTCTCATCAAGATTTTCTTGATTATTTTCTTTCTCTCTTTTCTAAACTTTGTTTTAATACAAAATTCCGCACTCACAAGATCTTGAAACACCTAGCCATATTCGAAGTTGCCTTCGCCCTAGACGTGAAAGGTTTTAATTTCTGAGGGTTTGGTCCCAAATCTCTATTTAAGTTATTTAATTTAATTGTTTTGATTATTATTTTCCTTGAAGTTACTAACGTGTGTATTTTGTTATTAGAAAGAGGCACGAAGCATCAAAGTAAGTACTTTAATTGATTTATTGATATTATGATGTAGATATCATGTTTACATTGTTATTATGATTCCTAGTATCATGTCTAGGGTAATTTTAATATCAAATATGATTGTTATGATGCTTCCTATGTTCTTCCTAATATTAATTCATGTTAGTATCATGTTAGGGCTAAAGATTTGATTTTTATTGCTTAGTGACATGCTAGGGTTTGTTATTAATCTTGTTAGTATCATGCCTAGGATCTTGCTATGCTTTAACATGATCATGATCATGATAATTTATGATTATGATTGATATTATTGTTATTAATGATGTTGATTATTTATTATGTTGCTTGATAGTTATTCTTTATTGCTTGATCACCTTTTATGCATGTTAAAGGGAATTTGTATTTGTAATCGCGCTTAATAAGATAATTAATAATCTTGTTAGGGTTAATTATGATTATAATTCAAGTGATCGCCAATAATAGTTTATTTGTGCATTAAATTCAACCAACATAGATTAAACATGTTTAGGGTTAATCCTATTGATTGTATGTTAATCAGAAAGCGCGCATGAATACGAGCAGAATAAAGTAGAGGCTTATTATTAGGGCAGGTTCAATCTCTTTTAGGTTGGATTTGTACCATCATCCCCGAACCCTTATTTGGTTCATGACCTTATGGAGTTGACGATCTCTTGGATCGTTAAGGGGTGTAACCTTCATCCTATGAACGGTTTACAAGTTCCTTATAAACTTGTTGGCGACTCTTTTGCTCTATCTTTTCCCCTTTTGGATGCCACCGTACTTTAGTGTATGATCACAGTGGGGTTCGAGCTAGTGGGATTATTTTAAGGCTTGAAACTATTCCCTACACTAAGTTATTTGGTTATTTATTCAAAAACAGCTTAACAACAATCTCAAGTTGTATTTTCTGTTATACGCTAAATTTTTACCTCGACGCTAAAAATTAGCAAAATAATAAAATTGTTTCTAGTACTTAGTTTCTCCATGACGAACTAATACTACATTTCTCCTAATTGCATGATACTATGTTCTCCATGACAATATAGTACATAGACAAATACAGGGAGCATGTTTCAAAATTGCACAAAAATAATAGATCGGCATATCATAGCATATTTTTTACGATCTACAACAATTATGTCATCATTTCAAGTGCAAAGAAATGACATGAACAACAAGAACACCATTTCACACAAGTAGTATCAAAAAATGGTGATTTACTTATTTCTTCACCAAATCATGCAACTTTAGCTTCAAATCTCTCACAAACAAACATACATTCATATACAAGCTAATTCATGACAAGAATTTCAACATAAAGGGTCAAAATTAAAAAAATCCTCAAATTGATTTTTCAAAGGTTTATACATGAAACTACCCATTTGAAGCAAAATTCAAGATAAAAGACAAAAAACTTACATAGATCTTTGTACTGATTTGAAAATGAGGAAGATAGCAAGAAATTTGAGTAAGTTTGGTGGAGAATTGAGCTCCAAAAGCTCGAAAAACCGCAGCACAACCACCGCGGCACGACACTCCAAGTCGTGACACGGTATCACTGTCCGTGTCGCGGTGAATCTCTGACAACAACGACAGCAGCAGATCTCGAACAACAGCACCTTCAATACCGTGGCCCGTGGGTTTTCGCTGTGACATGGTAAAACAGGGCGTGTCACTGTGGCTAACGCCGTAAAGCGGTGAACTGAGCAAAGCTAAATAAAAAAAAAAAAAAAGAAAAGAAGAAGGAAAGAAATATAAGAATGCAAAGGGAGAAAAGCAGCAACAAAACGAAAATAAAATGAAGAAGATGACGCGAAAATTCGCATTTACAAGCAAAATAAAAAAACAGCACCGAGGCCCGGTACATAACAGCGTGACACGGGGACACGCGTCGTGCCACGAGAATGCCACACGCGACGCGGTGTTTTAAATGAGTCAACGGGAGTAACATTCGAGAACTCTGACCATTTAAGAGGAAAAAAATATACCAAGCCACGTGAAATTATGCCGCGTGACGGGGAAGTGTACCGTGTCGCGGTAGTCCACCATGTAACACGGTGCCCAGGCGTTTGACCTGCACGTCCCTGAAAGCTCCTACGAATATTTAGCCGCAAGAATAAACTCGTGTCATGATATTAAATACCGTGTCACAACAGTTACCCACGTGGCGCGGCGCACTCGCGTGTCCTGCACACTTATTCCTGGAATATTTCAGGCATTTTGACTAGTTTGAATAAGTTTCCGCAGCTTTTGGACAGTTAATTTCTCACTAAACATACGCGGAAAATTCTAACTGATATTTAAAGGGTACCAAAATTACCATTTTACCCCTAGTAAGCATCAAAGTCACATTTTTGACATTTTAAACACCCAACATGGTCGAATAGTCAACTCGGAGGTGTGAATCATCTGCAATCCACGTTCGGGGACAATCAAACCACCATATTTCACGGCGCAAAGTTCTCGACACACAGAGACTTGCAATTTCAGTAGACAAGTTTTTCCTCAAGCATGGAAAATTGTCGATCGTTGTCACCTCTTAACACGAAGAGGTCAGCGATTATATCCGTCATCGACTTTCCTCAAGAATGGAAAGTATTCATCTGTCGACTTTCCTTAAGCATGGAAAGTATTATCGGGTGGATTTCTTCAAGCATAGAAAACCGCCAAATTCATCTGTCAGCTTTCTTCAAGCATGGAAAGTATTCATTTGTTGACTTTCCTCAAGCATGGAAAGTATCGTCCGGTAAATTTCTTCAGGCATAGAAAGCTACCAAACACATTAGTCGACTCCCCTTAAGCATGGAAAATATATCCGCGAAACGTCATCCAGTGGATTCCTTCAAGCATAGGAAGCTACCAAACATCATTTGTCACCGACACACTGGTGTTAGATAAGTATTCTATCCCTTTACTCTTTTATCTGTGGAACTAACATTTTTATGCAGGTATCGGCTTATACAGAGTGATTTAGGATCACTTAAATCATTCTCCGTCCCTATTGACTACTTTGACTATCATTTTCGAAACTGGCGTTTCTACAAACTCAGTCAAAGTGGGGGCTTCTGTAGACACCTAAAAGTGTCTCCCCAAAACCAAACCCGATGATGAACAACCTTTCACCGTCATCATTGATTGGGTTGAGTATTTAAACCCGGGAGTGCTTAAAATTCATATTCAATTAAATTCAGTTTATCAAATAGTCAAATGGATCAGTCCTAATGTTTAGTCAAAGCATAGTTCTTTTTTTTATTATTTTGGCCCAAACCTTTTTTATTCATTTCACATTATTATTTTAGCCCAACTAATAAATAATAAACCTAAATAGCTCGAAATTATGAAGCGACACTTAAAAATGTTGAAAGTAATTAGGGTTAAAATGTTTTTGAGCAGATAAATGGAAACAAAGGCTCCCGCGTCATGAGGAATACTACCATGTCACGGTAGGAATTCCCGTGTCACGGTGCTATTCCTGTGACACTGGGCAGCTCTGTGTCCTTTCTGCGTAAACCCTTCACTCGTTTTATCCCTCGTAGCCTAATTATTCCCAGCATCACACAAAAGTCTACCGTGTCACGGTATTTTCTTTCGTGTCGCGGTAGAATCTGCCGTGTCACGGTAGGTGTTTTAGGGTTTTTATTCATTTTAAGGTTCTGTGCGTTCCCTATACTCATTTTTCCTATAAATACCCCTTATTTCGATGTACGTGGGCATCAATTAATTCACTCATTCTCTCTTCTATACTCTAGCCTAAACACTAGCCTACCCTATTATCTCAAAATACC